ATATTAGCCTATGACTCTAATATCCATGGGCTGTTTAGCTTATTTAGTGTTGCTTTCTAATCTGCATGATTTATAGTCAGGACAAGAGTTTTCAGTCACTGTCATTTAGATTCTTAGATCCAAGTAGAATTTCTTTTCCAAATAATAGGAAGTAAAAATATATACTATAGCTAAAACACAGCCAATAAAATTTTTTAAATAAAGTTCAAGAAAAAGTAGGTCATCTCATAAAATTAAATCTAATTTCAAATTCCAGTCTAACTGTGATTTTAATTTTAAAGGCTCTCAGAAATTTGGGGTTAAAAAAAGGAGTTTAATTCTGCTATGGACATTTTCTTTATGAAATGTTACTTTTTAAGGGTGAATGAAAAATTTCAATTTGCCTTTCAAGGAGTGAGACTGTTTATATTGATTTGGGGTATTGCTTTTTTCTCCTCTGCATGGTCCAAAAGCCAGCTAACTCGATTAATTAAGGAAGTGGATATTCCATCAGAATAAAGTATTCCCTAAGTCATCTGATCCCTAAGGAGCGATACTTTCAGGAACACAGATTCCAAGGTGATTCCATTTTGTGGCTGGTGTTTTTGAAACTCTTAGACTGTCATCTAGAATCTGGGTTAATAGAAAGATAGGACCCTCTGGAGTGATCAACACCACCTGCAGCTGAAGGTCTGTCCTCAGATTAAGTTTTCCTAGATCGAATTTTGTGGCTATATTGATTCTGCATAACTCTTTCCTTGCCAAAAGGGCCAAAGGAAGATGATGGATTTCAGCGCCTCTCCACCTATCATGATTCATTAGAACCAGAATTGGGGAGGGGCTGCTGATCTGGAGGGGAAAGACCAATTTGGGGAAGGTGAAAGGTGAATGTCTCCGGATGAGCAAAGGAGCCAGAGCTCTGTGTTTCTGGGACTGAGTCTGAGACTTTAATTCTGCCTGAATATTTCCACTATTTCTCACACAAGAGTCTCTGTCTTGAAGCATGGGACCGAAGCAAAATGCCTAATGAAGCATACAGGGGAAAAAGACTTGGCAAGAAGGGCTGGGGCAGAAGAGTGGAGAGTCAGATTACAGGTTCATCCATTCTCACAAAACCATTTGCAAATTTTGGGACCCACGAAAGGCCCATGAAGCTTCCTTCGGGCCCCCAGGACTAGGGCGTGCGTCGCAGAAGTGTGCCTGACGCTTTTCAGAGTTTTCTGCTTTGTTCAAGCAGAAAACTTGAACAAAGCAGAAAACGTGAAGGCTGGTCTGGAAGGTCGTGGGTGGACTTAGTCAAGCTCTGGGTCACCGGTGACCTAGCTGCTTCTCTCTTGATTTCCTTAAGTGTAGAGTCCGGGCCTCGTTGATCACGTCCCTAAGGTTCCTGCTGCCGCCGGGCACCGCGCTCAAGGCACACGTGGCAACGGCCACTGGCCCATCGTACCCTGCAAGTGCACACGGGGTTAGCTGCCCAGGTCCAGCCGTCCCGAGGCGGATGAACGCTCTTGGCGAGGGCGGAGTCCCCATCTCAAACCCAAACCGGAGGGAGGCGCCCCTGCCCCGCCTCAGCTGGTTCCAAGCGTTTTCCAAATAGCTCATTTCCCCCCTCGAGTGAGCTGTTGGCGCTTCTCCAGAAGCCTCCCGAGCTCCCAGCTCCAGCCGCTAAAATAAACGCACCGTGCCAGAAAGCGGGGGAGGGGAGAGAAGAATTTGAACTAGAAGAATGAAAATACTAGGAGAACGACCCCATTCTCCAGCATAAGGTAATGAGGGGAAGCGAAACGGTGTGAACTTATTCGGAAATGCAACCCGATCTCCACTCTCTCCCCGTACGCATACAAACGACCTAAAGACAAATCAGCCAACGCTCTCGGCGGCTTCCCAAAAGGGGCCTCATGAATGAGAATAGGTTGCTAGGTTTCCTCCCTCCCTCTTGACAATCGCTTCCCGCAAGACTTCCAGGGCGGAAAGAAAACATGGGAGACCCTGCCATTGCAGAGCCGCGGAACCGCGCCAACTCCACGAGGCTGCTGCTCTGCTTTCAGGACCCTGGAGAGCAGCCACAGCGCCCCCGAGACCGGTACCCGCCTGCCCCACGCTCCTCGCCCCCTCCTGTGCCTACCCACCCTGTCTCTTTACTCGCTGCTTCCCGCCTCCACTTTCATTTCTCTTGGCAACCGCCTCTCTTGTTTTTCACAATCAGATTAAAGTGTCTCTTTGTTTTGCTTGAGGGGGCTGTTTGGATTGGCTAAATTAGGTTCTGGTTTGTAACTTCACTAAATGTTTGTGGACCAAGAAGCCCCGAGAGCCTCTCAAACGTGAGAGCCTGAACAAGACAGGGGACCTTAATAAATGAAGCCGATAAACGCAAAGAGTAAAGAGACTTTCCCAAGGTTATCCATCGAGTTAGTTGCAAGGCTGGATATAGGACCCTGGGCTTCTGACTTCTAACTTAAGGCTTTCCTCTATTATCCAAGAAAATATAAGAATTTTACCTTCTTCCTGGCGGCTTAGGTCTCCTAAGCAACAAGTGGAAGGTGGTAAAGCCTGTGTTCTGAAGAATAAGATGGACACCTTGAGTGAGGAAAGCGAGCCTTCAGAGTGTGCACTTAAAGGCCCCAACTCAGTCCTGGGCTCCCATACCACTCCACCCCATGCAGCACAACCAAAATCATTTCGGCCAGGTCCTGAGGTGGGTCTGGGATCCCTTAGTGTTCTCCCACTATTCAAGTTTCTCTTAGATAACTATCCCAAAGCCTACTACTAACCGCCTTCTGTGCCTCTGGCAGGTAGAGCACTAGGCACTTTGGAAGGGGGGAAAGGACAGACCTCCACAGAGGCAAGAGAACACCGCTGGGCCAAGGCCCGCGTGCGGGGCACAGCAGAAGGCGATGTAGAGCCCGGCTCGGGAAAGGGGCCCAGCCCCTGCTCTGGGGGGGCCTGAGGAAAAGAGAGTGGATGAGAGGAGGGAGAGGAAGAACAAGGCTTTCAAAAGTGAACTTTCAAAAGAGATTTTCATCCAAATTCTAAAGAATCAAGAGACATGAACACAGACCCTGCTATACATTGCATCTCACATTTACCATGCATTTGAATCCTCTGGGAATGTTAGCATTAAGATTCTGATGCAGTAGGTCTGGTGGGATCCAAGATTCTGCATTTCTAACAAGCTCCTAGTTAGTGAAGCTTCTTGGTCTTAGGAGTAGCTGGAGTTATAAAAGGGGAATGGGAAGGGAGAAAGGAAGGTGGAAGAAGAAAAAAGGAAGAGAAAGGGAGAAGAGAATCTAACCAAAGGCCTTTCCCTTTACTCTCACCGACCTTCTTTTGCACCTCCAAAGGAATGACTCCAAATGCTGTAGTATATGGCACTAAGTACACATTTTCTCCAGTCTGTAGCTGGACCCAGCAGTAATGGTATGCTGATTTTGTTTCTCTCCTTCTCCGCCCTTGCCTTTCCCGCCGCCGGCCCTGCACAGTTTCCAGACTCGCCTGCTGCCCTGAAGCTACTCAGACTCCTTTCTAGCACGCTCTCCGGCCTCGCGCGGCTCTTCTCTCACCTTCTCCGGAGAACCCCTCCTGAGGCTACCCAGCGGCGCCCAGACTTCTCCCTCTTGCTTCCCGCCCTGCAAACACCTGGTCTCTTACGGGGGCAGAAGGAGCATCCGGGCCGTCTCTCTCTCCTGCTCGGGGCAGCTCTGACACTGCCTGGCCGACCCCCAGGGGAGCGCCTGCCCAGGGAAGAGGACGCTGGCGCTGGGCAGCGTTCGTCCATGCTCGTGAGTACTGTTGTCTCCACAACGCCCCACCTCTGGCCTCACATTTACCGCCTGCGTCCCCAGCTCTTTCCTAACCCACTCCTCGCCATGCCAGCAGGGGCTCCGGCAGCAAGGAGAGGTGGGAAGGTCGAGACAGGGCTGAGCACGTTCTAGGAAACGGCGCCGGCGACTCGCCTGATTCCCTTACCCCTCAGGAAACCCTCGAAGCTACTTTTTCCTGGGCCATTTCCTTTCAGGGTCCATGGAAGTGGCAGGAAGCCCTCGTACTTCCCGAGGCAGCTCCTCAAACTCTTGTTCTCAACATGTTGCGCCCCTCCCCGCCACTTCTTCCAGCCTTCCCCAGACGCGCCTCCGCCCCCTCCTCGCGCGCCCACTCCTCAGACCACTAGGCTTCTGCCTGCTGGAGAGGCCGGGGAGGAAATGACGTGATGTTATTTTTGTGTCAGGTCGGCTTCCAGCTTCAGTTTAGCCCGCCGAGCTCGAGCGCACGACTCCGGCGGTCCTACTACGTCTCGCTCCCGAGGGCACATTGGGGGCTACAGGGACACGCAGCGTCGGTGCCCGCAGAGGTGGTGACGAGGTTCCTCCGTCACCCCACGGGTTTCTCCTTATCGTGGACTCCGAGTCCCTTGGGCACGGAGGGCGGCTGCCGAGGATCTCAGCAGGGTCCGGAGTCAGAAGTTAGCCCCTCTCACCCCCCAACCAGGTGGGGCCTCTGGCTCCGGCTGGCAGAGGGAGGGCGAGGAGTCCCTTTCCAGTCTGGGCCAGATAGCTAGAGGAAGAGGCTGCAACCGGGTGGGGCGGGTGCAGAGCTCAGAGAAGCACCCTGGCGAAAGGGAGAAGGTAAGGGGATTGCCCTCCAAAGGTGGCGCAGTCCACGGTGTGACTCTCCTGGGACCTAGCAGCCCCTCTGCGCGCGGCGCACCCCCAAACACGCACTTGCACCTCCCTCTTCCCCCTTCATTCACAAGGTCGGAGCACGCATTCCCTCACTTTGGAGTCTCGTTAGGTCCCCCCCGCGAGGAAGCGAAGGGATAGCAGAAGAGGCTCTGTAGACGCCCTCAACGCCCGCCTGGCTTCACGCCCACACTCTCGGTACTTCCTAATCTCCGGCTACAGGAGGGGAAGTTACGGTCTGGGCGCGGATTGGGTCCCGCCTGGGGCCTCGGGCAACCCCCAGCCAGCCCGGGCCGCAGTGGAGCGCGCCGCCGCCAGAGGGAGGCGAGACCTGGGCTTGCCCGGCGGGGGAAAGGGGATTGAGGAGCGGGGAGGAGGCAAACCAGAGGGAGGGAGAGGAAAGGAGTCAAGAAGGGAGAGGAAAGACCCAGAGCCAGAAAAAGAGGAAAGCCGGGAGACCAATCGCGAACCTAGAAAGGACAGCACTTAGTATAACAAGAATAAGACATACGGTAGACGCATGCGCACGACGGACTGAGGCGAGCCTGCCGGAGCTTCCCCTCTGGCTCGCCCCGCGCACGGTGGAATCGTGAGTACCCCGCTTCCTCAATCCACTTCTTTTTCTCAGACTTGCCCGAAGGCCTCGGGCCGGGAAGTGGCCGGGGCCAAACCCGGCGTGCACGGTTTGCGGTGCGCGGTGGTTGGAGCGTGTGCGGGTCGGTCGTCACCACCGCAGGTCCACCCCGGTACATTAGTGCGTATTTTGGAGGTGTGTGGGCTTAGGGTGTGACCGTGTTTTAACGGGGGCATCTAGCCACCAGGATCAATTTCTATCGGGTCTTTCGGGGCGTCCACACGATTCAACCTTTGTGGCGGTGGGGGGACGCATCAGCCCATCCCGTAAAAGCCTAAAATGCATGTTGACATCCGCTATATATTTGGGAAACTTCCAGGCGGATGCAAGGAAACGTCGGCGTTCTTACAGAACAGCGAGAAAGACCTAGAGGGGGCCGGGCGCCGGAGGCGGGCAGATTGAGCGCAGGTGGAAAGGAAGAGGAGACACTCCCTGAATCGCAGGATCTCCCTATCGGGGAAGCACAACTCAGGCAGGGGACCCGAGGAGTTGGGCCAGGAGTGGGCTCCCGCACTCGGACTCTGGAGGGTCTGACGTGGTGTCGGCATTTACACACTTGAAACCGAATTAACAGAACAGCCCCCCACCGTTTGCCCGTACCCAGGCGGTTAAAGAGCTGGCGCCGCGGGTGTTTTTCTTAAACAAACCCGGGCAATTGACTCTTCCGCATTCACTGAGCTGCTGTGGGGAAGTTGGAACGAGTCTGGGCACCGAGGCTTCAGAGACTGGAAGTGAGGTGGGGAGGCGGGCGAGGGACCTAAAGAGAGGCGGCGCGCGGGGAGGGAGGGAGATCTTTGGGGGTCGGGGTGCGCGGCGACTCCCCTCCCTCAACCGTAGGGGAATGGGCGGGGGAGGGGCCTGGGAAGAGGCGGTGAGCCGGGTGGGAGGGGTGTTTGCGGGGGAGGTCTGGGTGACCTGCAGCCCTCGTGCGTTTGCGGGAGTGGGCGGGAAGGCGTGGGCAGTGGAGAATCTATGTACTCTGCGACCTGTCTATCCCGCCAGCGGGGGAGTAGGCAGAGGAAGGGCCTTGGGAGAGGCAGCGCACGGGGACAGGAGAGCGTTGCAAACCTCCGGGACTCGACAGCATCCGGTGAAAACCCGTGAGCTACCCCAGCGGCAAGCGGGACGTGGCCGTGAAGAGTGCCAATAGCTACGAGAGGGGATGAGGTCTGGCATCTGTGGGTGCTGCTGCTGCACCCGCGCCACCTGTGGGGGACAGGATGCAGAAGTGACCGTGAATGCAGAGCTTTTGTCCAAGAGCGAGAGAGTGCTCGAGGGAAATGTCTCGCCACATCCCTTGCTTCTCAGAATCTGGCAGAGGCCAGTCGCTCTTTGTCTACCTGTATCCACCTCCATCAAGCCGCGGTGGGGTTCGATGGTTGTCCCAGCCGCAGCCGGTGCCTTGGGTTTGGGTGTAACTCCTCTTGCCCACTGGCTAGCAGAACCAGTCACTTGTCACTGGGGCTTCGCATTGTCCCGGGAGCGTGGGAAGCAGCAATTACCATTCATCCTTGGATCTGTCCACCTCCTTGAGGCACAGGTTGTGGGGCCCCAATGTGGCTTGGCTTTATTTCACTTTTAATGGTCCCAGTCTGTGGAATTAACTAACCAAGGGTCCAAGTTCACAAAACGATCTGATTCCACCCCTCCCCTAGACTTGGCAAGGACATTTGTAATGAACTGACTCTATCTGTAAATTCTTACTTTTTGCTCATAACCTAATTTTCTATTGGACCTCCTGTTTATCTTCTGTTCATTAAGTGGCATGTTTTTTGTCACATATCAGTCGCTCATGTAGGAGAAGCAATATTGCCTAATGGATAAGAGTCCTGGGCTCTGTAACTGGTTTCAAATCCCGGCCTAGCTGTGTGACCTTAGGCAAGTTACTTAACCTCTCTGTGCCTTAGTTTTATCATCTACAAAATGGGTATAATAAAAGTATCCACTTTGTAGAGCAGCTACCAGAATTCAATAAATCAACACAGTAGAGCTCTGGTACATACCAAAGAAAAATAATAATAATAATGATGATGATGATTATATTGATGCTAAATTTGTCAAATAAACTTTGAAATATAAAAAAGATAAGGAAGATGCATATTTTGTGTGCTATAAAGAGTATACATAATGAAATAAAATGTCTAACATGAAAATTTAAACTGTTTTCTATGTCAGTATCTAAATTTAAATACAGTGCATTTTTATATCATCTGGACCTTTTTATTTAAAATAAATATGAGATATTTACATACAAGCTTCAGATATCATTTTAAGAAAATTATCTTTAACCAACATATTTCTCTTTGTAAAACAGATATGCATAAAAATACACACTAGGTCATGGTATATACAAAAAAAATCCAGTATTGCATTAAAATATTGCACCGAGTTAATTTTATTTAAGAGATTGTGGAAACTTACCTCCAGAGTAGGAAATGGCAACTTCTCTAAGGGTTCACACATTTTAGCCAACATATCTTGCTATCAAGAATATAGAATGATAAAAGTCATGTTACTTATTCCACCTCCTTCACTTTACACATAGAGAAACATTCAGAGAGGTTAAAGGCCTGGGCCAGAGATCTCCAGCTAAATAGGGGCTGAAATAAGGTTAGAATTAGGTCTTCTGAGTCGCTCCCCAGGGCTCTTCAACACCACACTGATGACTTCCTGCTTACTACAGATTTATGAACCTCTAACAAATAGGAAACCAGAGGATGTTATATAGGGGAAAATATACAAGCATGTGTTAACTCCAATACAAGAAAGACCAGGCAGTCATGTGGCTACTGTTGTCCTACAGCTTCATCATGGCCCCTTGCAGCAGAAAATATGACCTCATGACTTGCGTAAGGTAAGGTAAGATTACAGATCAACCTAGAGGCAGAACCAGCATCAGAATTTATAAAGTCCCACTGAAGTATACATTTGGCTACATATTCTATTAATTCCTTACAGCAATTTTACATTAGAAATCATTTTTGAGCTTTTCTTAAATTTTTAAAATCTCCTCCCTGCTGACTTTGAAGATCTTTCTTATAAGAGAGCTTTTTAAGGAAAGGCCTTCAGAATTACACAGAAGGAAATTTTATTGTTCCAGGTTTTGTGGACAAGCAAGAGTGAAAGAGAAAAAAAAAACTTTCTTATTTTAGAGCAATACTCCAGTTACTGGTTTCATTCTAGGCACTTGAATATCGATTTCTAAAATTCTGCTCTTCTTTCATTTCTGCGTGTGGCAGTGATATTCACCCTCCACACAGATGCAGATGGTGACTTAAAGGCCCAGCACTCACATGAGCAGTTTAGGAATTACACGACAGAGTCTTTCAAGTGAGTATCTGGCCTTGCAAAATTATTTGTAGGAATGGTGTGGCTTCCAGAGAAGGCAATTCTAGAAACAGTGCCTGCATCCTTGAAGAAGGAAACCATGCTTCTCTCTAGTGTGTGAACTGGGTATCTTATCCTTGACTTTGCATCTCTGTATACCTACCACATGTATTTAGACAGACATACAGGGCATTAAGTAGGGAATGACTTTCTAGAATGCTCCCAAGCCAGTTCAGCAGAACTGAGTTTTGAAATCACATGTGTTAAGTCAGGGCCCAATACGATTATAATGTGAATCATAGTCCAATTGAGAATGTTGTGGATTGGTTTTCAGTGCACTGCCAGGTGACTCACAATGTGAGCTTCTATTCAAATACATATAGTGTCAGTCAGCAACTAATAGGGTTCACTCTGAGTCAGAGCTTAGCATTTAGTACAATAAGTGTGCGTCACTGACTACCCGGCACCGTCTGAAATGGTCCCTGAACGTTACCTTGAGCAGCTCAGGAATATAGACAACATTGCATGGGGTGAGTCAGTTCATAGTATGATTAGGCTTTTGTAGTGGCCATTCACAATAAAGTTTGATGTGACTGAGTGCTCCAGGTAATATTACATGATTATAAATGCATAGAATAAATTACCTTGATTGTAATCCAGCTGATTAGATTCTAGCTATTTGCATGAGGAATCATTTGTGAAATATGAGTATTATGCCCTATTGCCCATCTGTGATATTTTACTTGAGTTACCTTAATGATTATTAAAGCCAGTTAACTTTCTGGTTTTGCAGTGTTCAATTTCTAGTTATTATTTAATTTTACTCTAAATTTAAAATCCTTTTTAAGTATGTATTAGTTTTCAAATGTTAGACTATGGCATCTCATTCAAAGCTACCCTGCAGTTTGACTTCCTGGGGCCCTGGATTATACAATGTACAGCTCAGCCCAACAGTGAAGTGGGGGAGACTACCTTGTTCTCTGGTTTGTCTCCATTTGTGCCTTGTCACCTCTGCTGCTAGCTGAACGGTTCTTGCTCAAGAGCTAGAACACAAGTTTGTGGTGCTTTAGCACCTTAGAAGGCTATGACACCCAGCACTTCTAACCCTTCCAGGGCGGTATGGCTGGATCAACGCAAGCCTAGATTAGATGTTATATTTATGCAAGACAGTGGAAAGAATGATGCAACCTATGCCTCACTCCGCCCTTGAAAGACTTTTATGTCTCTGGGTGGGGTAATAATGGGATTTAAGGAACTAGTAGATTTCTTAACTTGTGATAATTAGTGGCAAGAACTTTTTATCCTCGGAACCAAGATTAGACTACTGTTTAAAAGTACAAGTATATTTTTCTCTATTTATCCTCTGATAGCCCCAAGAGAATCCCAGATGTGTAGACTTTACCATATACCTTTATTGTATTTCTACAAATATCCATATCTAGTGATAACCAGGTACTAATTCATATATCTTCTGAGATATATGAATACTTCAGAAAGATATAGATACTTCTTTGCATTTAATGAGCACTGTACATAAAGAGTTCTGTTCTTCCTGACTTAATGTAATTGCTGCCAAATTCAGGTCATTAGGACACTTTAATAAATTAGACTGTAAAACTGAAATAAAG